CGTCTTTAATCAATTTACATACGTCTTCAAGAGAAATAGGCATTGCTTTCTTAATATTTAATCAATACCCGCCGTAAATAAATATTTTTGTGAAACCTATACACTCTAAATTATTAAAACAGAAATTTAGCGAAAAACCATGAGAATAATCGAGTCTTATCAAGAGTACCTTTTTTAAAGTAAATGAGTTGCACAATCTAAATTTCATACTCAAACTCCTTTTCTTCCATTGGCGTAGAATTTTTAAAGGTGCAATTATTTAAAAAATCAAGTTCTACGCCTATGTATTATTATCGGACAAAAGTTTAACACCATTTTTTTGCCACATAAAACTCTACCAATATACCAAATTTCAGCAAAATCGCATATGCCGTTTTAAATTTATATGGGAAAAACGATTTAAAAATTGTAACTTCAAGGCCCTCTGGAGCCCAAACGAAGCAACTTTGTACAAAGGTAATTTTACTTAAATCGACTTATTTTAGTCTAAGGAACATGTGGTATGTTTTTGGAAAGACCTTTTACAGACACCCTGTATATACACAAGTTTTACAGACACCCTGTATATACACAAGGTTAACTGCCTGACTCCCACAGATATTAAGTAATGTTTCTCAGATTTTAAAATAATCTAAAAAAAAATAAGAAAATTTAGCAAGTTCTGTAGTCGATATTTTTTTGTTTTTAATGATTAATATAGATCTCGTTAGAATACTCATACAAATTCAACTTACTTATTATTAGTATCCAGCACTACACAAAATGTAAACACGACAGTATAGATTATTACGCCATGTATACATAAAATTTGAATAATTTATGTTTACCTAAAAATATCACCCGTAGCCAACGTGATTGAGCTATGATATCTCTGATAAAACTATTAAAAACATTTTAGAAATTCAGATACGAGGTACTTTTATTAAATCCAATAATAATAAAAGTTATCTGAGCAGATTGAAAATCAAATATTGTTCCGAATGCAAACGATAAGATCTTTGCGAAATTGTTATGATCATAATTACATAATTTAATTATTAATAGTGCAATGAATATTTGTGTTAGTGGATAAGAATTGATCCTCCATTTGGTTAATTTTATATATTATTGTTTAAAAGAAAAATGTTACCGTTAATGTTATACTAAAGAATAGGGCATAAATGAACGATTAAGTAGAAAAGACGGTAAATTATATATAGAGTGGCTACTTTTTATATTGAACAGTATTGCTATGTCGAAAACCGTAAGAGATAAAAAGTCGGTTAAATGGGAAAAAAGTTGTACTGTTGCAAGACTAATTTGGTGATGTTTTAAAACCGAGAACATTAAGACCGGTTTCCATCTATAAATTGACACATTTTAACAACTTATAACTCGAAAACGGAAAAAAATATCGAGATGCAGTTTTCACTAGACCTTTTACATTTACTTCAAGTTTTTCTTGACATTGTTGTCACATGTAATATTTTTCTGGAAAGTGCCGAAAAAAAAAACGAACTTTTTTGAATCAAAATTGTGAGCTTATTTTAAATAGAACACCCTATAATTTTTAACATCATCGGAAAGACCATTTCTTTCCCTTTCCAAAAATGTATTCATTGTAAGCATTTATTCAATTTTTTTGGGAAAAATTTACTTTTTTATGAAACCATGTCGATAACGTCTAAACGTAAAGTATCACAATTAAAAAGCCTTTAACTCGATAATGTGACAATTTATTGATAAGAGGTTTTGACTAAAATTCTGGGAAATGTTTAATTTTTTTATAAAATGGTTGTAAAGTCTCAAATGTCTAAAATTTTCGTAATTTACCAATTCAGATTAAGGGCTTATGATGAATAAAATTCTTCGTATTTGTAACGTTTATTTGCAAGCCTTTATCCATAAATCATCATTTAAAAGAATGTTTTAAGCGTTTTCAATATGTACCTACATCTGTTTTTTTTTGTCTATTTAATATTCCTCTTTTTGTAAATTAACTTACTCATGAATGAGTCAATAAATGATACTACTAATTTATCAAGGGTGCTATGTAAAACAAATCGAGTTGACAGAAGTCTATATTTGTATTAATTAGTGCAAGAGAAAGCAGGTACCTATTAAAAAATGTTTACCAAAAGTGAAAAAGCCCGGTGCGTTTTACTTTATATTGAAAGTAGATCAATTACACATACACAAAGAAGATTTAGAAATATGTTTGAAAAAAATTCGCCAACCAGAAATTCTATTTTAAACTGGGTAAGTCAGTTTAAAGAAACGGGCACATTAGATAGAAAAAAAAGACAAATTGAAAACGCTCAAGATATTATTTTAAATGATGTTATACAGATAAGGGAAATTTTAGCAAGAAACAATAATAAAATATCTATTAGAAAAATTGCCCAATCCATACATATGTCAAAGAGAAAGTTGCATAAAATTTTAAAAGTAATTAGGTTTAAAGCATATAAGGTTTAGACTTTTCATAAAATTGAAAGTCATGCATTTGAAAAGAGTTTTTATGTGTGAGACGTTATTAGATTTATATAGACATCAACCAAATGTAAATCTGATAATGTCAGATGAAGCAACGTTTCATTTAAGTGGACGCGTAAACAAACACAATTGTAGGATTTGGGGTGACGAAAATCCTAGAGCTTTCAACGAGTTTGAAAGAGATGCTCCCAAGGTAAATGTATGGTGTGGTGTGTCCAAAACCAAAATTTATGGACCATTTTTCTTTCAAGAGGAAACAGTATATGGAAACAATTACACGGATATGCTAGAACTATTCTTTTATCCTCAACTAGAACAAGAAGAAATACTAAATACTGTATATTTCCAGCAAGATGGTGCTCCACCGCATTACTCTTTTGTAGCCAGGAATTCTTTGAACTCAACCTTTGGAGATAAATGGATAGGTCGGGCTGGTCCCATCGAATGGGCTCCATATTCTCCGGATTTAACTATACCAGATTTTTTTATATGGGGGTATATTAAGGAAAGATGCTACGATCCAACACCTACAAACTTAACTGAACTGAGGAATAATATAATTCATGTGTTTAATACAATTACCCCAGAAATGCTGCAAAATGCATTTACAAATTTTTTAATGCATCTGCATACATGTATTAAACAAAATGGAGGCCATATTCAACAATTAATTTATTAATGTTTTAGTACATATTTTTTGTATTCAATAAAAATTCAGTTAGGTACCAACATGGTGGGACACCACTTACGCCACAAATATCCGTGTGGTATGAGGTGCTCCCCTCTGTCTTTATAAGTAAAATATCATTACTTGATATTATTCTGAAATTTATACCTAAGGGACAAGGCAATGAAAAACAGTATCTTATCAATGATCGTTCGATGTAAAACGTCAATTTATATTTCGATATGTGCCACCAAAATGTAATAGACACCGTTAACATTGATTTAATTACCTAAAATTAAAACCTATTAAAGCAATAAAAAAATTATAAAAAATTCAATTTTTTTAAAAGGCGAAGAAATAAACTATCTAATGACTATGAGAGATACGAAATGTTTCATTCGCCATAAGACCTTAATCTGAATTTAATTTTTTTTTATGAAAACTTAACAAGTTTAAGATTTGGCACCTATGTCAGAAAAAAATTTAAACATTTCCAAGAATTTTGGTGAAAACCTTTTATCAATACATCGCCTTACTCCCAAATTATAAGTTAATTAATTGTGATACTTTACGTTTGGAAGTTATTGACATGGTTGCATAAAAAAGTGAATGTTTCCCTAAAAAATAAAGTAAATGCTTACAATGTATATATTTTTGGAAAGGGGAAGAAATGGTCTTTCCGAGGATGCTAAAAATTATAGGGTGTTCTATTTAAAATAAGCTCACAATTTTGGTTCAAAAAAGTTCGTTTTTTTTCGGCACTTTCCAGAAAAAATTACATGTGGCAACAATGTCAAGAAAAACTTGAAGTAAATATAGAAGGTCTAGTGAAAACTGCATCTCGATATCTTTTTTAATTCTCGAGTTATAAGTTGTTAAAATGTGTCAATTTATAGATGGTATTTAAGGAAAACCATATGACTCTATTTTCGATTGTATTGACTTTATTTTACAAATTACAAAAAAAGTAATTAGATTTTTTATTTGGTATTAAGTAGCGTCTAATTTACCGTAGACAGATTTTTTATAAAACGTTTCGTTTCTGGAGGGCTACCATCAAGTATATTTTTTTGAATACGGACCTGTATTTTTTATTCTATTTTAAGAAAGTAATTTTAATCGTGAATTCAACCGTGTAATACAAATTAGTAGTTTAGGACGTTTTGATACTTTTTATTATTGCTATTGCAAGGTCTCTATAAATTTTATTGTTTTAATACAGACCTGTATTTTTTATGCTTTTTTACTTAGATTACTGTAATTTTTCATCTATTTAACATACCGTATTTCATCAGGGTAGTTTTGTCTGTCCAAAGAAAATTACTGTAGACTGGTCTATCACTATTTAGGTGAGTAACAAATCAAACAAATGAGGAGTTCGCGTTCAAAATCAGATATTTCCACTTTTTCCTCAAAATCATATTTTGACGGTTTCCCAATGATCTTTGTGATATCTATCGACTCCTATGCTCATTTTGGATCAAATCGCAATATAAACCATTTAAATCAGTAGCTAAAGATAGAGTTTTGTGTCAAAACCAGTTATATCCAAATTTTGCGATCAAAAGCAGATATATCCACAAAAGCACTTTTTAAACGAATATTGTCCACGTTTTAGTTTGTTGGTGGGAGTCGCAGTAATAACAGCTATTGTGTGTGTTTATGTAAGAACTTGCAAAGAAAACAAGCTAAAAAAGTGTGAACAATCATGGAAGTAGAAGACATTAGTGTGAATAAAAGAAATTATGGAAGTAGGAAAAGAAAAAAGCATGAAACAAAGCGAAATCGTCGTAAGAGACAAACGTGAGGTTACATTTTCTACTGTAGGTAAGATTTATCTAATTTTTACGTATTGTAGATATTCATATCCTGATCCTAGGCTAGAAAGTTGTAGTCGACCTTGTAGTTATAATGGAAAAACCTATGAATATTGTAAGGTGGGCACGCAAGACATATTATTAATTCTAAGAAAGCAGTTTTATAATCATTCAAGAAAAGTTCTCCAAGATACACTTCTCTGTCGTTATATGTGTGTTATGATGGCTAAACGACACAGGGAAAGTAAAGAAATCCGGGCGAGAAAAGCAACAGTTTGCTACATGTCAAAGTCTGTCAAAAATGGGGTTCGAGTTTGTAAAGGATTTTTTGCTGTTATTTTTGGTATACCATACAATCGTCTCACAACAGTTGCAAAGGTTTTGGAGACGGATGCATTCCTAATGAAAAAAGGGAAGGGGATAGGAAGTCCCAGAAAAGCGCAACTAAAAAAGGAAAAAGTACCAGATTTCATAGGTAAATTACGCGGAAAAGAACGTCATTACAACAGAAAAAAACTAAATATATATACCTTTCAACAAATCTTTCAGTGAAAAAATTGTATAGAATGTATATTAAAAAATGTGCGCCCAACGACTGGGTCTCTTATGATATGTTTGGAAATGTCTTCATACATGATTTTAATATTGGTTTCTCATTCCCTCCCTCCGATGTGTGCTCCAAGTGTACAAGGTTAAAAGAGCAGTTAAAACAAAGTAATGACCCAGAAAAGAAAAACAATATTATACTGGAATACCGCATGCACAAAAAAATAGCCAATACTTTCTATGAACTTTGCCGTGAAAATCCAGACAATAGTATTACTTCAACAGGTTCAGCCTCTTCCCCGTACACCTATTGGAGATGCCTTCTATGCTCATAAAATTAGCCTGTCTTCCTTTTGCTGCGTGCCAATGACAGATCCAACAATTTATATTTGAACGGAAGACTTAGCTGAAAGAGGAGCTTCTTAAATTGGCTCAGCATTCTTGCATCATCTTGGAACTTTAAATTGTAAAAACAAAAACCTTATCAGATTATTCTGCGATGGATGTGGAGGCCAAAATAAAAATTCGCATATCATTCACTCCTTAATTTACTGCAGAAAATGTACAAGAAATAATCATAACATATCTGAAAATGACAGCAGACAACCATTGGGCAATTCGATACCGAATAAAATGAAAAACACCTAAAGGCATCTCATAAAAGAACATTTTGGCGAAGAATGGGAAAGTAGGGAAGACCTCTTCTGGTATAGAAACTTGTTGGAAGGCACAGACGCAACCACGATAGAGGAAGATGTAACTGGAGAAGTTGTGAACGAAATGTGTGACTGTTTACATGAAGAATTCGCCATACACCTCTAATAAAAAGTTTAAATTTTTTTATTTTTGGGAAAGAAATATTTATCTTTTTATTTTGAGAAAGTAGAAGTTATTTTTAATTTTGCTTGTAACTTTTTCAATAAACAAGTAATATTTTTAAAATAAAATTGTTTCATTTGTTTTCAAAACCAGTTATATCCATATTTTTTTGGCTAATTTCTTAAAATTGTTTTATTTTTTCTTTAAAAAAAATCAATGGCCCTTTTTGTCAAACTAGTTCAAACAAAATTCCCTTCACATAATCTTATTTTTTTCAAGTACAAAATATGAAGCGTTTTTTTTTGCTTTTCTGACATTTTTTTAAAAATGGATATAACTGGTTTTGAACGTGAACTCCTCAAATAATCTAGATTGATCTAATTTACACAAACAAACAAATTTACAAAACTTTTATTTTAACAATTTCCTTCTCCAAACATAAATAACAGATATATTCCATAAAATATAAAAAACGTCCTCCCATAAAGTACCCCCCCAGATGTTCCGACTTTTTCCAAAATCTAATCATTTCACGTCAGGCCAAATCCTTTTTTGATTTTTCTTCAAAATTCGAAATTTACACATTTTCTCAAATATCTCGAATACGGTCCATTTTAGAGAAAAATATGTATAGAATAAAAATTATAGAGAATTATATAACAAACAACTTTTATTTAAACAATTTTTATAAAAAAATATTTTTTTTACATTTTGTCAAATTTCTCGAATACGGCCAATTTTAGGAAAATTTTGTATAGAACAAAAAATATTAATAATAATATTGTAACTTTAATTTGAAGAATTGTTTTCTCCAAAATCTAATCAGTTTATTGGACGCCGGAATAAAGCTTAAGTTTAAAATTTGGTGTTTTACTTTGTATCGGTTCATGAGTTATGGTGGATACAGACACACACACAGACACGCACACGCACACGCACACGCACACGCACACGCACACGCACACGCACACGCACACGCACACGCACGCGCACCCACACACACACACACACACACACACACACACACACACACACACACACACACACATTTTTGAACAATTTTTGTAAGATTGCTTATCATTTCTTTTTGTTTTTATTCGTTATTTATTTAAATATTTATAGATTATAAAATCATTTTACAGTAATTCTTCAAGTTTTACTTTTTTATTCGTCTCAATAAAAATAGATCACTCTGGATTAATAATACCTAGGGCCGACTAGAGGGAGGGGGGTCAGCTGAGACCAATTCTCGGAAGCAGTGGTGTTTATTACTTTTAGAAGTTTTATACAAGAGGGGGGAAGTACTTACCTGAAGACCTTTTTATTAAAAAAAAAAAAAAAATTCAAGTAGGAGAAGAAATTTTTGCTAGGGAACCTTTTTTTTAGAAAAATTCAATTTTTGCTTGAAGACCTTTTGTTATATAATTTTTTTATAAAAATGTCGCGGGCCCGATCTGGAGATTTGTCCTGGGTCCGATCTGGGGAATTGTTCGTTAAGCACTAAAAAGGGTAGAAGTACAATCTAAATCAATATTTGATTGCCAACAGTCCCTCCAGGCTCTGGCAGAACATAACAAGGTCACTCTTGAATGGGTGCCAGGTCACGAGGGAGCGCTTGGAAACGAGAAAGCAGACCTCCTAGCAAGGAAGGTAGCGGAAAAAACTCTTATTGAACCAGAACCCACATGTGGTATCTCATACCAACATGTTAAATGGGTGTTAAAGGAACAAATAAAAAGAGAACACCATAGGCTCTGGATGGAACTTCCTGGACTTAGACAGTCCAAACGATTCATATAGGGGCCATCCACGAGCAGACAACATCAACTGCTAAACCTTAGCATAAGCGAACTCAAGGCCGTAATAGGACTCCTTACGGGACACTGCGGCCTTAGAAGACACCTAAATCTCTTAGTGATATCTGATGACTCCCTATGTATAATATGTGAAGAGGAGGACGAAACTCCTACTTTAGTACGGCAAGTGTTCCTCTAGTGGTTATGTTTGGTTATGTTTATAACACGCAGCGGCTCAGTATTCAGTTGTTTATAAACAAAAAGTGTGTCACGAAACAGCCGGTAGTAGATCAAAAAAAAAAAAAAAAAATAAAGTACAACCAACCTCTATTGCAAGCCGAAAAGCTAGAGATATTTCAGAAGAAAGAATTTAAGCTGGACGTCCTGCGAAATTAGAACGCCATGGCGTCAAAAAGCGACCCCATAATATAGCATTCAATTTTAAGAATAATTTACAAAGTGCCAAAAAACATTAATAACCGACGCAAATAGCGCCACACTTACAGGTAAGATTATCAATTATTACTAAATAAAACTTATATTTACAGTAATTTCCCAAAGAACAACCTACAACTACCTCACGCCGAAGAGCTAAAGATACCTATTTCGGTTAAGGTGCCAAAAAGCAACCCCATAATATTGCCCTTAATATTAAAAATCATTTACAGTATTACAACAAATATTAATAAACTATGAAAATTCATATATGTTTTTTTTACTGAAGTAGTATTTCCGCATGTTTAGGCAGCATAATACCGTGCAATCCTACTCAAATACGGCACCATTTGATGATATATTCAAGTAGGTTTTCTGCACAATTAACGCATAAAAACCCTAGTCTAATTGGTCACTGCCTTGGGGACGTATTGAAGTAGGATTTCTATTTATGCGAACGGGAATGGTACTTCGGGGTACAATATCCGGAATCTGAAGAAATCGCGAAAGCGCCCATCAGCCATATTCTTGAATTCATCAAGAAAATCAATTTTATGAGATAGAAACTGTGAGGGGTACAATAAGCCTAGAGCTTCAGTACAAGTGGGCTTTGAATCACGCCCTAATTCAGATGATGAGATGATGATGGGGAATTGTCCTGGAGCCCGGTCTGGATCTCGGCGGCCCTGCCATCAATTTGGATTTAGGAACAAGGATTCCACTATTGATCAAGTTCACATTATAACGAATTAAATAGAGAAAACACTAGAAGGAAATAAGACTTGCAACTACTTGACTGATAGAATCTTCCGAGTAAAGAAAAAAAAAAAGAATATTTCATGTTTAAAGAAACTAAAGCAGGGGTATCTCAAGAAAGTGTTGTGGGGCCAGTTCTTTATCTGTTGTTTACTTTCGAGATTTCATAAACGCAAAATGTGCATGGCCGACGAGAAGGTCCGGGTTTATCTTTTTTAGAAGTTCGCCACAAGAACAATAGAGCGGGACCTTTTTTTTGGACGCGATATTAAAAGAGCTTAATTTTTTTATAAAATTGTCCAGGGTCCGTCCTGGAAAATTGTCCCGGGGCCCGACCTGGCTCTCGGCGGCCCTGATAATACCTACATCCTCTATGAAAAGATGAAACTACTTCGACAAATTCTAAATTGTTAAATACAAAAAAATACTCCTCATTAACATGTATGGCTCAGGTACGATTCCTATTAAATTTTTGGTAAAGGAAGCAGATGTAACGAAACTGCGAATAATTTAAAAATAATTTTAGGAGTGTAGTTTTGGTAGTAATCTAAGTAAAAAAAGCATAATAAAAAATACAGGTCTGTATTAAAACAATAAATTTATAGTGACCTTGCAATAGCAATAATAAAAAGTATCAAAACGTCCCAGAACTACTAATGTATATTACACGGTTGAATTTATGATAACATGTACTTTTATAAAATAGAATAAAAAATGCAGGTCCGTATTCAGAAAATTATACTTGATGGTGGCTCTCCAGAAACGAAACGTTGTATAAAAAATCTGCCTACGGTAAATTAAGCGCTACTTAATATTAAATCAAAAATCTAATTACAAGTTTTTCCTTATTTTTAAAATAAAGGCATTACAATCGAAAATAGAGTCATTTGGTTTTCCTTAAATATCTTGGAAACCTGTCCTGATGTTCTCGGTTTTAAAACATTACTAAATTAGTCTTCCAATAGTACAACTTTTTCCCATTTAACTGACTTTGTAACTCTTACGGTTTTTGAGATAGCAATACTGTTCACTATAAAAAGTAGCCATTCTGTATTGTAAAAGCTATTAATGTATCTCGAGTATTAATAACACAGAAGATGCGATGATGAAAAATGAAAATTCGTTGACTTACTTGGCAAGAAGAATCAAGTGGTCATATTTGGCTTAGTGGGACTCGTCTTGGAAGTAGGCTTATATTAAAGCGAGTACTAGAAAATAATGATGGTGCTGACAATGGAAGACAGTTGGTCATTACAAAGATTAGAGTAGCCAAAGTAACTCTATAGTTACAAGACAGCCTATCAGGACATCTTAGTGTTAAAAACATCCTTTAAAATTCTATTGGATGAACAGTTCCAAAGATGTAAAGGACTGGTTTAAGAAATGTATTGCTATCTGCAATGGACCTTATCGGAAAATGAAGGCTCCCATGAAAAAATAAAATACGAAAAAAGTGGAAAATATGGATGAGTTAGTTTGCTTGCAGTAAACCAGAAACATCTGACCTTGTCTTTGAAGAATGTATGGAG